GGATTGCAGGGTATACCCTTTGGTTGGGTGATGCATGGACGGGATGGTAACTATGGCAATGAGACTATGTATGATGGAATGAATGTAAACTAATGTTCCCCCATGTAGACTATCACACAATAAAACATTAAAAAAAGAAAGAAAAAGAAGACCAAGTAAGGTATTATAATGCAGTGTCCAAAGGCCTAGAGTTAGAAAACCAAAAGGCAAGAATAGCTTTTAGCATTTCTCAAGCTGAAAAAAACTGAAGAAAAAAGAATCAAACATCAAGTTGTACTACTGAAGAATTCTGTGGGTAAAATATTAAATGAAGCAAGAAGCATAAAAAGGTGGAAGGAATATACAAAATCACTGTACCAAAAAGAATTTTCAATGTTCAACTATTGCAAGAGGTAGCATATTATCAAGAACCAATGTATTGAAGGAGATATCTAAGCTACACAGAATGCATTGGTGAAAACAAGGTTCCAAGTATTGATGGAATACCAACTGAGAAGTTTCAACAAAGGGATGCAGTGCTGGAAGCATTCACTCATCTAGGCCAAGAAATTTGGAAGACAGCTACCTGGCCAACCTACTGGAGAGAACCATATTTGTGTACATTCCAAAAAAAGTGATCCAACAGAATGTTAAGTTATCAATCAATATCACTAATATCACACATAAGTAAGATTATGTTAAAGATCACTCAAAAATTATTGCAGCAGTATATCAACAGGGAACTGCCAGAAATTCAAGCTGGATTCACAAGAGGACATGGAATGATGGTGATCAGTGGGTCTTGCTGGAAGCTTGCTAAAACTTCTTGTTTCAGTGATTATGCAGACATTCGACTGTGTGGATTAGAAGAAATTATGGGTAATGAATGGGAATTTCAGAACACATATTGTGCTCAGGTACAACCTAAACATAGAGAGGTAGTCATTTGAGCCAAACAAAGAGATGCTTTATGGTTTAAAATCAGGAAAGGTGTATGTCAGGCTTGTATCTTTTCATCATACTCACCTTATTTATGGACTCTGCTGAGCAAATAATTCCAGAAACTGGACTGTATGAAGAAAACACAGCATCAGGACCAGAAAAAGACTATTTAACAACTTGTGATATGCAGATGGCACAACCTTACTTGCTGAAAGGGACGAGGATTTGAAGCACTAACTGATGAAGATCAAACAACTTTAATAGGGATTACAGCTCAACATAAAACAAAAATCCTCATACCTGGACCAATAAATAACATTATGATAAACAAAGTTGTCAAAGATTTCGTTTTACTTGGTTCCATAACTAATGCCTTTGGAATCACTAGTCAAGAAAACAAATGACTAGACTCATGGAAAGGCTGTGTGCTGGAAGCCAGGAAGTAGGCTTGCAGAATGTGCCCTTTGGTTGTTTAAATGAATATATATTCCTGAGTGTTTTTGTGTACATCACCCCTTCCCCCACCCCCACAGAACAAAAACAGAGGGAATAGAAGCAAATACTGTTGAATGATGATGCATGAAGGAGATTGTAATCATTGTAATGAAGCAATGAGTGTAAAACTAATGTTCTCCCATGTAAACTGTCAATCAATTAATTCACAATCAAAACTTACAGAAATGACATATTACATTGGGCAGATCTGCTGCAAAAGACATCTTTGAAGTATTGAAAAGCAAAGATGTCACTTTGAGACCTACGGTGTGCCATAGTATTTTCAGTCATCTCATATGCATGTGAAAGTTGGACATTATTTGTATACATGTGAATAAGAAAGACCAAAAAAGAAGAACTGATGCATTTGAATTACGGTGTTGGCAAAGAATATTGAATACTCATATACCATGAACTGCCAGAGGAACAAACAAATCTGTCTTGGAAGAAGTATAGCTAGAATGCGCCTCAAAATCAAGAATGGTGAGACTTCATCTTATGCACTTTGGACCTGGTCTCAGGAGGGACCAGTCCCTGGAGAAGGTCAGTGAAAAAGAGATCCTCAACAAGATGCATTGACACAGTGGCTAAAACAGTGCCCTCAAACATAGCAGTGATTGTGAGGACGGCACAGCATGGACAGTGTTTTGTTCCGTTGTACAAAGGGCCGCTATGAGTTAGAAGCAGCTTGATGACACTTAACAACAATCATCTATGAACAGTGGTGCCCAGTTGCTGCATGGCTACCTCCTCGTGGCTTTTTGTGAGAGCCAGCAACATTATTTCCCTTACGTGGTCCCCCATGTGCAACAGTTAGCCTTCCTAAGCTAGAGACTGGACTCCTGGTGTGGCGCAGTAGGATCAGCACTAGACTGTGAACCACAAGATCAGCAATTCATACCCACCAGCTGCTTCGTGGAAACCCTATACAGGGTCACTATGAGTCAGAAGTGACTCGACAGCACGTACCACCACCACCAAACTAGAGACTGCTATCCCTGGCCGTAAATTATCTATTTTGGTCCATGTTGTTTTTATCTCTATTCAGCAGTGTCTACCTTTCTACCTTCCTAGAGCCAACTGCTATCAAGCCATCTCTGACTTACAGTGATAAGAGTAGAGCTGTGCTCCATGGGGGTTTCAGTGGATCCACAAACCTTCCTTCCAGAGTGCCTCTGAGTAGACTTGAATCTTCACCCTTTTGAATAGCAGCAGCCAAGCTCGTTAACTACACAACCCAGGGATTCCTTTTGCAAACAAGGGGGAAATGAAGTGGGCCCTTAGCCATATCCCTGGACATTGCTGCCAATGTCAGCACGTGTTTAACTGAGCGGAGGTTAGGCCTGACTAGAAGGAATGCTTCTTGTTGGTCAGGGGCTGTTTGTAGGGTGTGTGGAAATTTGGAGCACCCAGTGGACCTGAAATTTTCCCTCTGTCTTCCAGCCTTCACCTGCATCCAAGTTCATCCAAGGCTATCTGGGAGCTGTCATCAGCGCTGTCTCAATTGCAGTGAGTAGCTCTCCCATCTTCCTCTTGGCTTTGTTGCTCTGTGACTACCCCACCTTAATGTGTGAGGGGCCGCCTGGGGGTGGGCAACGGCAAAGTTTCTAGGTAAGCAAACTGGCACTCCAGGTTTTGAAAAGTAGGCAGGGAGGTGAGGCGGCCCCTGTGGGCGCTGGAAGTGCTGTGCCTTACAGTGAGGACAGGGTGTCTGTCCACTGAGGGGCCTGCATTTTCCCAGCAAGCTTCTCAGGAGTTATCTCCATATTCAGGAAGAAGCTGTGCCAGAGAAAAGGGACAAAATGCCCTAAGTACGCTTTGCTCTTTGTCTGGGATCCATTGTCTCTTTCTGCAGCCTAGACTGCTGTTATGTCGCACAAGCCCAGTCCCTCCTGGGGGTCTGGCAGCCCCTCAAGATGAAGGTGAAAGGCTCCTTTTGAGTTTTCCCCCGGACTTTGAGAATAGAGCTCAGTGCAGAAGGCTGCCTTGTGAGTGTAGGGATGGCTAGTGGTTCCCTGTTCCCACCTGAGGGCAGAGGACAGGTGATACAGCTAGGAGCCAAAGCTAGAGCAGATCCCATGCTTCCAGGACTCATCCACACTCGATCCACCCATGGGCCTGCCCCTACCCCTACATCTGGTACTCTCTAGGTCCCAGCTGGGAGGACCTCCTATAGCTGACTTAGAGGGGAGAGGGTCGCTTCACAACTTTTGTTATTTCATTTATTAAAAAATAAATACAGGACTCCTGGTGTGATGCTGTAGGAGCAGCACTGAACTGCTAACCACAGGTTCAGCAGTTCACACCTACCACCTGCTCCTTGGAAACCCTATACAGGGTTGCTATGATTCGGAACCGACTCCACGACACTTAACAACAATTGATAAGCAAAAAATCATTTTAAAATGCAGATTGAAACTATTCATGCATTGTTCCGTGTCCTGAGCCTTGTCCCCCAGTTGTATGACAAGCTAACCAAAGACAGGGACTGTGTCTTCTCCCCCACAGAGGAGAGCCCTGAGCACTGCTCTATAAATACTTATTAATTAGGGACTGATTGATTGCTGGCCTCGGGAGGCCCCTCTCGTCCCGGATCCACGAGTCTCAGCAGTGGCGGTCCCTCCGCCCGACGTCTTCACACAGTGAGGGTCCAGCTCTGGCAGATGGAGCCCAGTTTCTGACTTGGAAAAGCTGCAGCTCGCTTGCTTTTCTTTTGTGTGTAAATCACAAAACCTCCAAAGAAAGAGGTTTGATTTTATTTTCCTTTCCCTTGATCTCTAGAACCCCAGCCCCGCGGCCTCATTAACTGATCTCTGCTTCAATTAGTGACAAATCCCCTCCCAGGGTGAGCCTGTTAGGGAGAGAGGGCCTGCAAACAAGTGTCAGGGCCCCAGTGGTTGGCCCAGCTCTGGCGTTAATTAAAATGAGCCCCTCCAAGCAGGCAGCATGGGTAGGGGCTGGCAGGCCTCGGGCAGGTCCCAGGTACTGAGGACCAACTGAAGTGGAAGCCAAGCCTTGGGAGTCTGGGCTCCTCCACTGGACTCTGAAGAGTCCTTACACCTCTCTCAGAAGAGGCCCTGGCCCTGGCCAGTAAACCTCCAGCTCCAGGGATCTGTAACGTTCATGTCCCTAAATGAAATGTAGGATTGTTTGCAGGCCCACTAAGGCGGGGTTAGCAGCCTCTTGGCAAGCCATCTAAATAGATTTGGCAATGTCTGGCTTCTTTCTTGGGAATGAAAAAGAAATTCCGACTTAAGTTATTTTTGAAATCCAACAGTTTGCTGTCTTTTAACAAAGGAAGCCTCCCTCAGTCTTCCCTGTTTTTGAGTTGTGGAGTTGGTGGTGAGCGCTTTGTGGTCAGCCCTCCCTGGGCCCTGGACACATGAGGTGGGAGGAGGCTAGACCACTCACCTAGTCACTTACTGACTTCAGGGTGTTGAGTGTGTTTCGCTGAAGAGACTGGTACGTCCTCCAGATGTGGAATGGGGAGCTGAGAACACTCTGTGACAGTCAGACCCTCGTTGTTGTTGTTAAGTGCTGTCAAGTTGATTCCAACTCACAGAGCATCTGGTGAATCTGAACCACTGATCTTGCAGTTCAAATCAACCTTGAGGTCCAGTGCATTATCCCACAGTGCCACACCAGAACTCCAGGTCCTAGGAGAACCCTAATTCACCCAGGACAGACACTTATAGGACAGATGGGTGAGAACCAAGGAAAGGGCATGGAAAGAGAGTGTGACATACTCAGGACACAGCCAGGAAACAAGTATTGCTGCCCTGCAGAGAGTGAAGGTGGTGCAGAAGTGATGAAGAAGTGGAAGACATTAGCAGGGCTGGTTCAAGAAGGATTGTGAGGGTCTTGTCAAAGTGTTAGGAGGGCCACACCAGGACCCTCCTATGTGGGCTCAAGGACCTGTGGCATGGCAAAGGGTACAGTCAGGAGTGGGCTGTGGGAGAGAGCCATGGGGCATTGGTCCAGCCAACCAATATAGCTCTGGATGAGGGTGAGCCTGGTGCAAGAACCAGATTCTGAGACACTTCATTCCCATTGCTTTACCTTTGGCCAGGACCTAGCTGATTAAACTCTTTCCCTGTTGGGGAAGTGCTGACTTCCATTCCCAAAGGTTCTGGGGACTAGGGAATACCTTCTGAAGAAAATACAGTAGTTGTCTGGTAATCTTTACTACTAAACACTGGAGTAAGGAAGTATCCCTTGGCTGAACCCCTAAACTTCCCAGTTCCCATTGCTTAGTGGCAACCCTCCATTGCCCCTTGGTAGTCAAATAATCATCATCATAGTAACATGGCTGACACTTAAAGAGTGTTTGCTGTGTGCCAGGTGATGTGTTGGTATTCATCGCATTTTACAGAGAAGAGACTGAGGCATAGAGGTGAAGTGACAGAGCTAGGAGTCAAGTCCAAACTTTAGCCACACACAGATGGGCCTCCTGTGGTATACCCAACCCAACCACCCCACTGCCTTGGAGTACTTTCCTATCCGTACGTAGCAAGCCAGTACAGGGTTCCTGAGAGAGCAGAAGCCTCCTGTTTCTCCCACAGAGTGGCTGATGGGTTTGAACTGCTGACCTTACAGTTAGTAGTCCAGTGCTGATCCTGTGGTATAAGGAGGCAGAAAAAGACAAGTAGTGTTTCAACTTCTAGTCTAAGGAACCGCTACCATGTCTCCTGGTAGAAAAGTCCCTCCCTAGGTCCCCTGAGGGGTGCATGGTTTCTCTGTTGCACCGCACTGCAAACCACCACGTCGGTAGTTCGAGCTCAACAACTGCTCTGTGGGAGAAAGATGAAGCTTTCTGTTCCCATAAAGACTTAGAGCCTCGGAAACCCTAACAGGGTCATTGAGTGGGAACCAACCTGACAGCACACAACAGCACAACAACAAATCCCCTGAGAGCAGTGGGGACTGGAGGAAATATTTTGAGAGACTTTTTGGTTGTAATGGGGCTAGACCCTGCATCTGCCTTCACATTTGGTCTCTGGCCAGACAGAAGAGCAGCATCTCTCTGTCATGGGTCCAGAGCAAGCCTTACGCCCTGCGCGAGTGCTTGGCTTGACTTTGCTGGAGGGTGTACACCACGTCCTTCTGTATTTCTCTGGGCCTGTTGGAGGCAGGGGGCAACAGCCCCTGAGAATAATCCCAGGACCAGCCTATTACTTCACAGTTTCTCTCGGAGTGGATTGTGGGTTGAAGGGCCCTCCTGACTACACCCTGTGCTCGGGAAACCTGCAGATGGCGATGTTGACAGTGGCAAGTCAGAGAGGAAAGACAGCTCTGCATCTATTGTGGCAAGAACAAGTTGTCTCTCCTACATGAAAGGGGTCTGATGTGATTGGTTCCCAGCAGGAACCTGCTGGTCCCTGTGTAGCATCGGACCACATTCAGGTTCAGAACTGGTCACTGTTGCAAACAAACAAGTCACTCGTTCCTGGTCTATTGTGTTAGGCTCTGCCTAACTCTGTCTTGGCCACCTTGGCCATTTTGCTCTAAGACTGTTGCCAAGCAACAAACTGACTGGAGTTGGAGGACAACTGGGCTCTGTAACAGGTCATGGTCAGAAGAATGTACTCTACACAGAGCTCCCTCTGGTGGGTATGTTTTGGTGCCTTGAAGATGCCCTGACCTTCTCCAACCTTTGTTTCCAGGCCCATTTGTACAACAAAACTCTGGCCTCACACCATTCCTCTTTTCAGGCATGGTGTCCTTTCTTCATTGTTCCTCAGGGCCACTTGCACCACTTGGCAGGCGCCTGCCCTACACTGTCCTCCACTCTGTCATTGTTCTGAGTATTTCATGATTCTGAACCTCTGCTGCTGGGGCCCACACCTCTGACCTGGCTGCCTTCTATCCACCCTTCAAGGCTTAGTCAGGCATTCCCTTTTCTAGAAGCCTCCGGGTCTTGGGGCTCGTACACTCCCAGATCCCTCCTCTTCACAGAGTGTGTGAAATGGTAAGCTCAGGTGGATTCTTGGACCCGTGATGTAGGATCCAGCTCTCCATCATGACGTCCCCAGAGGCTGGCCCAGAGTAGCCTGTGGTCAGTAAGTGTTTACTACAGTGAATTTCTGTGACTTTGTGGCTTACTTTTTTCCTGCCTCAGAATTCATTCACTTGATTTATTCTAGAAACATGTATTAAGCACCTCCTCATTTTACTGGGCACCAGAATTCAGTGAGGAGTAAGAGAGATGCAATCTCTACCTCCACAGCAGGATCTATTGGGAGAGAGGGATCATTTGTAGAGTATTACAGGTGAAAGTATTTCTGTACTGCTCAATTTAAAAAATCCTATCCATGTATTATTTGATGAAAACATCCTAAGAAAGTAAATACATATATTCTCGGAGATTATGAGATATTCATGCCAGGGAACGTTCCAGGTTCTGCCAGACTGAAAAAAGGAAGCTGTGATGGAAGAAGGAGCCCTGTTGGCTCTGTAGGATAAGCACTGGGTTTTGAGCCACAAGGTCGGCAGTTCAAACCCACCAGCCA